ATCTGTAGAATATAGGCAGGTCGCTGTGTTGTAATGGCTCGGTATAAGAAGGTAGCCAGAAAATATTGATGGCGGTAGGACGGATAAAGCCACTTCAACTTGGTGTAGAACTGGGTAATATGCGTATCTTTTGAGATCCGGAAGATAAAGCGGATTGAGCAATTCATTAAACGTTTAAGTTTGGCTTCGAGTTCTCCCGAGAGTCCACCATACACCATGCAGCCGTAGTCAAAGTGGGAGAAAACAAGAGAGGAGACCAGGAGTTGACAGGTTTTGAACGGAAGAAGATAACGTAGATGGTTAAACTGTTTCAGACTGGATATAGCTTTTCAGAATCTTAAAATCAATGTAATAAAATCTTTATTTTGTTCATCTTATCAAAAAATAAAATCATTAAAAAAATAAAATAATAATAAGAATGCATATTCAAACTTTTTTTTTCAGATATAGCAACAATACAATTTTGGTTGGAGAGTGAATCTCAGTAGTAATTATAATTGATAAGCTTCATGCACCTTGAAGGATTGAAAGGAAAACTTGAAGGAAGATCGTGAAGACGTCTTATCTCCATGAAACATAGACCGGAATCCAGTTGCAAAGGAGGAGGTTCTCGGCCCAATTCTATTGAATCCTGAGCAACTTGAGCCGCAGCATACTGACGTTAAGATGTTCTCAAGTATTGATAAGCAGAGCTTTAAGAGTGAAAAGATGATGCTAATAATTAACGAGACGATTACGATGACACAACAGAAAGGACAACCCAATATTTGACCAAGAATCTGCGGGCAGCAGCAGAAGCAGCAGAGTATAAAGGCCGACATGATCCAAAGCACGTTCCAGGCCCACACAGGCAAACATTCCTAAAAATATAAATAAATAATGTTAAATAATTGTAATTTAACATAATAATTATAATTAACTAAAATAACAAGTAAATTAGGTCTTCAAATAAATGAGAAAAAAAAAAATCATGATATCAGTCAAGAAAAACACGACTGGCGGATCCTTTATAATTGAAGGATATAGTTTCAAAAATGTTACAAAATTCAAGTATCTCGGCACGATGGTCACGGAAAATAATAAAATAGGAAAAGAAACAAAAGCTAGAATTCAAAATTTCAACAAATGCTATTGGGTGCTCAGAAAAATTCTTCTGAACCAAAACATATTCTGAGAACTCATAATAAGAATATATAAAAGATCGTCCTCAGACCGGTAGTGATGTATGCCAGTGAGGAGTGGACTCTTATGAAGTGACAGGACAGTTTTATCAACACATGAGAGAGGAAAATCATGAGAAAAATATATGACTCAACCAAAGGCGAAAATGGATACATAATAAAACCAGAGAACTTAGGGACTCATATTGTGACCCAGATCTGGTTTTGTGTATCAAAAAGGAGAGGATAAGATGGTTGGGACTTGTACATTGAATAGATCAGGAAAGATTCCCAAGGAAGATAATAGAGGGACGGCCGAGTGGTAAAAGAGAAAGCAGTAAACTCAGGCTGCGGTGGTTGGAAGATGTTGAGGTTGAACAACGGCTTCTGAGAGTGACGGATTGGAGAAGAGCTGCAGAAGATCACTTCGAGTGGAGGAGAATTATAGAGGAGGTGAAGGTCCTCCATGGACCACAGTGGGTGAGTAAATAATTATAATGATCGTTCATTTGATATCTAACTGTTGAATAAAATTGAACTCCATCACTTAGGTTAAATTACCCATTATTTTATATAATATATTATATATATATATATATATATATATATATATATATATATATATATATATATATATATATATAGATAATAAACGTAGGAATAATTAATTCTGTAAGTTGACAGGGAAATAAGGAAATTGAAAAAAAAAATTTAAGCTATTTGAGGAGGCGGAAAATGTTAGAATATGTTTTGCATATCTTTTCTGTATCTACTTTGTGGTTTACTAGATTATATTTTTCCAAATTAATAAGTATAGCTTCCGAAAGTAGTAATTTTTTATGGTTGGGTATTGTACCAAGTATGGATGGGTTATCAAAATCAAATGTGTGGTTAAGGGTTATAGCGTATTCAGTTAGTTTCGAGGCGAACTGATTGCATGTGGAGATGCTGTATCTGTGCTGTTATATTCATTTGAGATATGTTTTTGTTTCTCCTAGATAGGAAGGATTGTAGTTTGGGCTAGAGCATGCAATACGGTATACTATATTTGATTGTTGTAGGAGCGGAACAGGATCTTTGAGTTTGGAGTATAAACTTCTTGATTTACTTTTATTTATAAAAGCTATGTGTAGATAAGAGAATTCGAAAGTTAATGATTGTTGAGACAGGACCAGAATGTATGGAATGGATCTGTATAGACAAATCATGGGACGAGATTGAGAGCAGTTTGTGGGAGACTGGTGAACGTGAGGTTTGGATTGATTTTTAATTAGGTTTTCATTATGAGATCAGGAAAGTCGTTCAGGATCTTGTATAGTTTAGTTTGGTTATTGTCGTGGAATTGTGAGTCAGATAACGTTAGACAGCGGTGAGTCAGGTTTTTAGCTACACTGATTTTTTGGTGGTAAGGATGCTGGGAAAAATAATTTAGGAGGCGGCCAGAGTAAGCTGGTTGGATGTACCAACTGGTGCATAAGGTGTTGTTATTTCTGGAAATGAGGAGATCGAGAAAATAGAGGAAATTGAGAGTGGTTTGAGTTGAATGCATAAAGTATGTTTGGAATAGCGTGGGGGTTGAGGATTAAGAAAAGGTGTCATCTATATATTTTTAATGAAAAAAATATCATTAGGGATAATATCAAGTCAATGAGGTTATTGAGGACAATACTGGAGAGGTCTGGTGCAAGGAAATAACGCATCGCCAGGCCAGAAGTTTGATAAAAGAATTTGTTTTGAAAACATAGGTTATCCAAAGTTATAGCACATAGAGAGGGAATGAAGGAATGAGGTTTAATTAAGAAAAGTGTATGGTTCTGTGGTAGATCAATTTTCTTCAATTATTTGGAGAGCACAGTCGGTGAAGAAACATTCTGCATCGAGGGAGGCTAGGATAAAATTTGGTGGCATGTTTAAGGATTTTAGTTATTCTAAAGTTATCGGTTGGTAGGGAAATAAGTGGTTTGTTCGGGAAGGACTGCAAATAATTTATCATTGTACTCGGCGTGATCCACAGCAATAGTTTTGTTACCCTGTGGTAGTGGAATTTTAGAAAGGAGCAAACAGAGGAAAGATCTTTTAGAAATTGTGATGAAAATCCCTCATTTATTTCTATTTCATTACAAGCTAATAGTATTAATTTTCAACTATAAGAAACAACGTATTGGTTGTACACATGTTATCTTGAATATTTTATTTAACAAATAATTTGCATTCTACAAACAAGAATGTTACCTCCTCCCCCCTCTCCCGACTTTGTTTGCCTAAGTGCCAGTACTTGAACACCTTCAGTGCTCGAAACGTGGTTAGTAAGAATAAATATTACATTTCTTATAAATTGATTATATACATTATTTTTTAGTTTGTATTACATATTACGTATCTCATTTGTCTATTAAATGTATCATGCATTACTATTTTTTCATTATTAACCATTATCTGTCTTATAATATTATATCTCTGATTGTATCAAACAGTTTTCAGCCCTGATGACAACCCACATGCATGGGTTGAAATGTCGGCACCAATAAAAACCTTAAAAATGACTGTTTTCTGATTATTTATCACCTATGATACGTAGAACAGTCTACTAACTTCCTTCAATAATTACTTGGTTTATTTATATTTACATTTGAAATACCTACTTATCTTTTTAATTTATTTATAACACAAAAACATTTTCTTATAAACATAATTTTTTGTCTGCACATCCTGACAATTTTTCATCCTTTGAGTATATCTATGGTTGTAATATGATGGTTATAGATGAAATATATAAATTATTAAAGCTGACTTCCTTGCTAATTAAAACTCTGCTGAAGCAATTTAAAATATATATATATTTTATAATTTGTCTCTTAAATTATGGGAGTGAAAAAAGAGGTTTGTACCTTCAAAAGTTATTTCTACTATGCCGACTCATTTAACACACAAATTTTCAATCCTAAAACATGTACTTATGAGTAGCCTTTAAAGGTGTACAACTTCTTAAAAAAAAAAAACCTCTTTAAAATTGTTGAAGATTTTATTTTAAAGTTGGGTATATTGATTACAGCCTCTCTACAACTTCCACTATACAAAGGTCTGTCTATATTGTGTCTCAGTTCACTCCATCAATCTCTTTTTCATCTGATTAAGGCAAAGGATTAATGCCAGAGTTAAAAGCCCCAGCAACTGGACTCAAACTCGTAATCTTTTGTTTATCAGGTTCCCGAGCAATGAGTGTTTTACATATGTGTTAGTCCGCTCCGGCATCACACCCACTAAATAATTTTTAATTTTAAACATTATTCTTTTTTGAAGATGTAGAGATGGTTGACCGTTGATATAATTGATTTAAACTTATCTTTTATCATAATCTGTTTATTTTTAACTTAAATACTATATTCTCCTTTATTTTTATTTTTATTCATACTTATTTTCCATTTGTTTTTATCTTCTACATATATAATACTTAATATTTTAACTACATTGTCACCCACTATATCTCTGATATCATCTTTTTATTTCTGTATCTGACAACTTCTTCTTATTTTATATCTACTTATATTTATTTTTTATTTTCAACATGTTTTGTATCTTTTGTAGCCCTGAAGACGACCTGCAAAGTGGGTCGAAACGTTGGCAAAAATGAAATAATTACTATATTTTAATTTAGTATTTATTTGACCGCCCACCCCCGATTAACTCCTTCTCATATTATTCTTTTTTAGGGAAATAATTCTAGAAATAGGAAGATGTGTACCCATGTTATGAAGGCTATTTTTTCCCCTTCTGCTATAATATTTTCAATACTTTTGTTAACATATTTTCAAATTTACTCGTGTGAAAAAAATATATTAATATATAAACATGTATATAAATTTATTCTCAAGTATACAGTATTATATTGTTCCTTTTACAATAAGTATATTGATGATGTTAATGTTCACACATCTTTTTTATAAATAATTTAAACTTCGGTCATTTTTCTTTTGTTCCATCACCCCCCCAATCCAAATGGAAGTTCTGTAGTTATTGATATAAAAGAAAGGGGAACAAAATTTTTGAGCAAGAGTTCGCGGCCAGCAGCAAAAGCAGCAAAGCATACAGGCCGACATAATCCAAAGCAGTTTCCAGGTCCAAGCAGGCAAAGATTCCTAGAAATATAAATAAATCATGTTTAATTCCCAATAATTATTGGATGTGTGAATATGTTTGCGCTATTTGTTTTATACTGTTAAAAAATTCTCTTTGTTTACCTACTGGCAATATTGAAACCAACTTTATTCAAAAACTAATCCTCTATACTCCCGTTATCATTATATTTTAAATCCTCAAAGTGTATACAACGTAGTTCATATCTCTTCAAACATGGAGAATTTCGTACCCTCAAAACCGTTTTGGCGAAAAAAAAATTTATGCTATTTTTCCAAAATAAAATTGCAGCTGAAGTACATACAATTCTTGTGGAAACTTACAGCAATCATGCTCTATCGGAAAGAACTCTTTTAAAACAATGATTTAGATCTCGAAGATGACAACTGTCCAGGCGCCTCTCCCCCCCAAAAAAGAGAGCTGCTTCAGCTCCGAAATCATCACAGGAGATCGCCATAAACTATAATCAATGCGTTTGAGCCAAGTCCTGAAACAAAAGCTACCACAATACGAGCAAAGACATGACAAGGTAATTTTACTGTATGATAATGCTCGACCTTATTTTGCAAACCTGGTTAAATTTTATTTGGAAATGGGAAGTTCTGCCCCACCCACTATACTCACCAGACATTGTTCCTTCCGACTACCACCGAGTAGAAAGCTATACGGTATAAGCTATGTAGAAAGCTTGGCTGTTTAGCCGAGAACACTCAATCTTTGCCGTTCCTCTCTCTTTACAGATACCCGATACCCCTCTGCACAGGACTTTCATATTGTTAGTTTAGCTTTTATGTATCACTTATTCATAATTTTTTAAAAAGGTTTTAATGCAAAATGATGAGGATTTACTAATATAAATTTACTTTTTTCTTTTTTCTGGGAAGTTGTCTATTTATTTTTAGTTATTTGGCAATAATAACTTCCAATTGAGTATATTTCTATTATCAACGTTACATGTTAACAAGTTAGTTGACGTTTCGGGATATTTATTCCCATCTTCGGAACTGCAATCCCAATACTCTTGTGGATGCAAGGCTAAAAATTTTTTGAGTTATAATATTGTGCTTGTTACATTACATGTTTGAATTTTGTTGTTACAATAAATTTGTAGTTATCTTAAATTTAATAATTTACAATTTATTGTAATAACAAAATTCAAACATGTAATGTAACAAGCACAATATTATAACTCAAAAATTTTTTTAGCCTTGCATCCATAAGAGTATTGGGATTGCAGTTTCGAAGATGGGAATAAATATCCCGAAACGTCAACTAACTTGTTAACATGTAATGTTGATAATAGAAATATACTCAATTGTTACCAATTGGAAGTTATTTTTGCCAAATAACTAAATATAAATTTAAAAATATGCAATATTTACTAACATTATGTTTATTTTTTCGACTAGTTTCATGACAAATGTTTCCGATAAAACTCAGAATTTTTCCAAAAGATCCATTTTCTACACAATCATTAGTACTGTTTGATACTATACACAGTCATACCAGAAAATGAAAAATGATACAAATGTATAAATTTAAAAGAACCGATGGGGTAAAACAACCTCCTATAAGACAATAGCTATCAATTCTAAGGTTTGTAAATAAAAGTTGTGTGATGCATACTCTGCACCAGATTTTTATAAATAAAATTATCATTTTTATAAAAAAAAAACAGCAGAAACTTATTCACACACCCTAAGTAATGAACAGTCATTTAATATCTGACTGTGGTGAAAAAAATATGTGAGCAGCAATGCTCCATCATATTCTTTCCTTGCTGTATGGGGAAATACAGGTGAAAAGTTAATTAGTGTTTTATTAATAATACTTAATAATAATAACTAGGGGAGTACCTCCTGGCCGCCTAACAGTGGACCAATCCCCATTTTAGTATTTATTTATTTATTATACACCTGTTCATTTAATTTTAATACTCGTTGCTAGAATTGTATAACTTTAATTTACCTGTATTCTGTAGTTCAGATTGTATTATTTTTTATCAACATAAAATAAACTGAACGAAACCACAGTTCGGACAAATCTTTGAATTCCTTTAAAAATCTATATTATACATCGCACCTTATTGCCAATCCATATTATTATATAATTATAATTATTCTTATTGCCGATTTGTAACAACAATGTATATTCAACTTGTCTAGCTTCATATAAGCCCAACAATAATTTGAGCCTTTTATTTCTAATATTTTCATTGTTCGTTATATTGTGCTTCCTTTTCTATTTATAAATAATTATGATTATATCACAACATAATATAATAATTAAGATACTGTATTCAAGGGGAAATGTTTAAATCGAAAAATAAATGGTGTAACTTAGATAAAATCAAACTACCACCTCCAGATGAATAAGTGCCATTTACCATACAAATTTTTAGTCTATAATCTTTACTTTGTATTAGGAGAGTATTAGGTAACAGGAGCTCAACACATATGTAATTAAATGAACAGCTGTGTAATTAGTGCTAATTATAGAGCTAATAGGAGAGCTCCTGTAACCTCCTACTCTCCTAATACTAAAATAAAATATAACATAAACTAAAAACTTTTTTATATAATAGAGAGATAATAAATAACCTTTATTAATACTTACCTGAGAAAACTTAATAGAATTATAAAATCTATTGAATTGTTAAATTTCTATATTTAATCAATGATCTCATTAATTCCATAATCCTCATTTTATTATTAAAAAATCGTTCTAACAAGAAATTTAACAATATGACGTTTTTAACTACTCTACTAGCCATTTTAAAATGGTTAAAAATGCAGAAAACAACAATAGCATAGGCCCAGATTTCCGATTTGATTGGGAAAGGAATGATACACCAAAAAAAAAAAAAAAGTGTAAATTTTTTTCATATCTATTTATGAACAAATATAAACAATAAACAAACAAATATAATCAATTTTACAGCCTTGCCCTTATTTTTTTTTTGTAAATTATCTTTTCACTAATTTTTTTGCTTATAGCTCAATCTAATAAATAATCACATTTAGTTTTTGATAAATTGCTCATTAATGTACGTTTCGAGGAATCTTCATCCCCCTTTTCAGCAATTGGTAAGTCCAACTTATTAATAAGTTTGGGTCAATACCCAATTTCGGACCATATCATATGCTGAAGAGGGGGAATAATGGTTCCCTGAAACCTTCATCAATAAATAATAATCAATAAATAAGTTTGATTTATTAGATTACCTATAGGCAGGGGGAGGCGGAGTGATCGAGCGAGCTAATGCATGATCACAGCATCGCGTTGCCCGGCAACCTAATGGAAGATAATTTGATAAAATAATTACGATTACATAAGCCGGGAGGGGGTTTTAACTCTAGCATTGATCCCCTGCACTCACCCACTGGCCTGGGAAAATTCTGTACAGCCTAAAATGCAAGGAAGGAAAGCACAATATATATATATATATATATATATATATATATATATATATATATATATATATATATATATATATATATATATATTTATATATTGACTTATAGGAGGAAAAAATGTGAAAAGAACAGATTTAATATTGATTATTTAAAAATCAATTCATTTTTAATTTTGTATTATTGTAAGGTTTTTTATTTTTATTTAGGTGTATGGATTTAGTTGAAAACATCTTAACAAACCAATTGAATATACTACTTATTTGTTCACTTTAAACAGGGGGGAGGGAGACAACCTATATATATATATATATATATATATATATATATATATATATATATATATATATATCTCCTCAATTTTCACTTGATCTTCTTATCAAATTTTTCTTGATAAAGTTGAAAAATATATATTTATTTAGCATAAGTATAGTATAGTATAAGTGTGTATGTGTGTGTGTTTATATATATATATATATATATATATATATATATATATATATATATATTTTGAAAATTTGATAAGAAGATCATGTGAAAATTGAGGAGTGATTGAATAATAAAATCTTAGGATATGCTGATATATATTATTACCTTTTAATATAAATGACAATTTGAATAACAGTAACGTTTAGTTAACGATAAAATAGTTACATACCTACTTCGTGGCCCTAGCCTAGTTGATTTTTTCTTAAGCAATTTTAGTTTACATATTTTATTCATTCATGTAGCTTGTTTATTATTATTGGGGAGAGGAAACGATATTCTTGCCCCCTCAACATTTTATTGGGGCGATTGCCTCCCCAAAGTCTGCGCCTATGAACAATAGTCATTAAAATATAATTTTTTAAATATATAATATTCATTGATAGTTTACTTCTCAATGGTTGGAATTGTCTATTTGAAATAATAAAATCGTTTGTTGCTTTTTTATTCTGTCTTTATTCACAATTTCTTTGGCTTCCATCTTTCCTCATTTTGTTTTTAAAAAACAAACTATTAGCTCATTTTCAATGATTTTCATCTAGAAATTTATACTTCTTTCTGAGGCTCCGCCCTCCTCTCTCAGTGCTCCCTGATATGCTGCAGCTACTCAGAGTAATAATTTCAATTAGTCAACTACTACCATAAATAAGTATCTATAAATTATCATAAACTATCTATAAATTTTATATATTAAAAAAATTTAGTTTTATCAACATTGTCGTTTTTGTGTTTTTATAAGTTTGAAAACGGCTAATAGAGCTGAAACGTTATTTAGTAAAATTTCTTGTTAGAACGATTTTTTAATAATGGAATTAATGAGGTATTTTTTAAAAAATAATATTAATCACATATTGATTAAATAACTATCTTCAAATATAATGTGTTAGTATTTTGCAATGTAGATCCCTTTTCCAGCTGTCAGGAGCAATGGATTTTTATGAACGAGGTATCAAACAAAAGGCTATTTCACGAGAAGTGAGGAATCATAGTCACCATTGCCTTAGAATTTCAGAGGAAAAGTTATGAATGAAAAGAAACTTTATTTGCAAATAACTAAAACAGTATATTTTTTTCTGGACAGCACCCATGATTAATTGAAAGATTACTTAATTCTCTACAAAACAAAAAAAAAAAATCATTGAAATTGTACGATTATTAGCAAAGATTCTACCTATAGTAATGAACACATCTTTTGGCTTGTTTGCTTTGGAACACTTTTGAATTTGTTATACAACATAATTCAATGAGTCGTATCAGTATACACAACAACAATTAGTTTGTGTATGTTAATTATATTATACTTTACTCAACTTTGAATAATGCTAACTTATATTTTGTATATCACATACATTTTTACTGCAGATCTTTTAAATTAGAGAAATTTACTAAATTGAATATTTACAGAACCAAATTTAAAATTCAGCTTCTCATTCCTCAAAAAAAAAAATAATCTTTATGATGACAATATCAATTCTATTGGATAATAACACCACCTATGAAAATAATTTGAAAGTACTGAAGGATTAAAAAAAAAAAATTAAATTAATTCTTTTCATAGATAAAATAAGACTGTAAGTAGCTTAATCAACAATTCCATTATTCAATCATACAATTATAACTTTAAAAATATTAAAAATACAATGGAAAAGAATAATAAATGAAAAAATTAAGAATCCTTATATACAGTAAAAATGTTGATAAAGTGCTATAAACGATTTTCAATCATCTACTAATATTGAAATAACCTTTATGGTAATATCATCCCCAAATTAAAATTTAAAAATTTGAGGTTGGCAGAAAATCAATATAACAATAAATTAACCTTTCCATATTGCATAAGTGCTGTAACAGAAACAAATGACAAAATAGTAGCTACCTATTCAATTTAGGTGGGTTGGCATGATTAGAATTGTTTTTATCCATATAGTAATAAAATAATTTCACTGAGCATACTTAAATCATATTATTATCTGTCACAGTAAATTAATAAATAATGTGGATAAATTGATAAATAAAAAGACCTGCTGAAGCATTTAAAAAAACAGGACAGATAATCTAAAAAAGATTTTATGGTTATATTACATTGTTAGTTTAATTCAAAAACATCAACAAGTGCATTTTTGATTAGTTATCTTTACATTATGTTTTTGTGAATATGAACCTTATCTATCCATACAAAACCATCGCAAGAGCATGAAAATTGCACAAACCCTATTATTTATCATATATACATGAAGTGTACAATTTTCTAATTTCACATAAGGAAAATGAATCAAAGGTAATTATTTGAGGTTATGAAATGTCACTTGATGACTTTTTGCAATAAACCAACAATGTGATATATATATATATATATATACTGGGAATAAGATGTCATTAAATAATGATTGTTTTCAAACTGACTGTAAACGCTGATTGTAGCCCATGCCTGAGGATTTCTTCTTAGGCAAAACTTTGTATAAGTTAATAATAAAATTATTGATTAAATGTGCTTGCATCATTATTTTATCAATTAATAAATATTTTATATAAAATTCTGTATCGATAGTGAACACATTTCTTAACTCATCACATTTTTCTTCTTTTTTTTTTATTCACGTATCAGCCACACGAATATCATTGGTTAGGCATTTCTTTTCTTTCTTCGGACCACTTTATACCCCTCGTTTTTTCTCTTCCATTATTGGTGCGATTTTTCAGTGTTTTCCTTTCTTTAGTATGTGTCGCTATCTAGACAGTCGGCATCTGAAATTTTAAGGTTCTTTAATTCTCTTATTTGCTTCATGTATTCTCCCATACTTTTGTAGCTAAACATTTTATTAAAGATCTTTTTTTTCAATCTTTCCTCCTTCATCTTTTTCATGTGCCCATAAAACATCAGTCTTCTGATTTTTTTGATGTTTTTGAGGTCTTTGATTTTTCTGTATATCTCTTCGTTAGATCTTCGCCTGAAACCTTGTTGTGATTTTCTGGTTCCATAGATTTTTTTTAAGATCCCCCTTTCTATTCTTATCAGCTTTTCCAAGTTGGGTAGACATGTGGTCTCCATCCGATATAAAATCACAGGCTTTATTACAATGTTGTATCGCCTTAACTTTGCAGTGGAGAAGAGGTTCCTTTTATTGTAAATTTAGCCTGTTTGAAAGCTTAAATTTTCTAGTTTTGTGATTTTCTCTTGGATGCTCTCTTTCACAGAACCGTTGTAACATATTATTTCCCCCAAATACTTAAATTTTCTGGTCACATTTATTTTTCCATATTTATGTTTATTGCTTTTTTCTTGAAATTTATTTCTGTTGTCATGAGCTCTGTTTTTTCACATGATATTTGTAGGCCTGCTTTTTCTGCTATTCTTTGTAGGGTGGTCTATTTGACCAATAGCCTCTTCTTCTGATTCTGCCAAAAGATTGTCTGCAAACGCTAAACAGCTCACTTTTATATTATTGCTTTTGTTTCCTACTATGGCTATATTTTTTTCCAGAATTCCTTCATGATTTTATCCAGGACTATGTTGAAAAGTATCGGAGAGAAGCCGTCGCCTTGTCTTAGCTCTGTTGTTATCTGAAAAGGTTTGCTTATAAGACCCTGAAATTTCACTTAAGATTTTATATCTGTCAGAATCAGTTTTATCAGATTTATGGTTTTCTGGTCTACTCCATATTCTTTCAGAATTTCCAGTAAGGTTACTCTATCCATGGAATCGTAGGCCTTTTTGAAGTCAACAAAGGAAATGTAAAGATTTTTCTTTCTGGTAGTGTGGTATTGTTAATCTCCCCCTTGTTAATCTTCTATTTTGTGATCTATTTTTGGTTTCAGTATATTCAGCAGGATTTTAGAGATCTTATACGTAACTGATAGTAGGGAAATTCCTCTATAGTTTATTAACATTGGTTTTGGATCCTTTTTTATGTAAAGGATGTATCAAGGCAGTTTTCCATTATTCTGGTATTTCCTCTTTCTTCCAAATGTCCATAAGCATTTCCATGTTTTCTTTGTTATTTAAACTTTTTTTTTTATTGAGCATTGGGGTATTTTCCCCCCTAGGCCAGCCCAGGTAAATTTAACTCTGAATATTTTAATGCATTAAGTAATTTGTAATAGTTATAATTTTTTCTTATTTACTTTGTGTGGCACTGTATGTTACCACATCTAGGCATCCTCAACAATCGGCTGTCAGGAATTTGAAGAAGTAGATATCAAATTGCTCTTTTTTCTGTTTTTTTATATATTTTATTTTCCATTTTTCTAAAAAGATCTTAAGTTATTTTTTAAAATTAATTATACAAGCCTTAATTGTAAAATTTTGTTTTATTTTATTTTTTCTTTACATCTACAGCTTACTTTTATAATGAATGCTTTATAGAAATTTTGGGAAAATGATTAATTTTTAATTTATCTAACTTTTAGTGGTGTATTTATTATTATAAATAAACATGAAATAATAAAAATGAACATATCAAGTTACATGTAAAATTATAGTAGTATTTATTCTTGTAAATCTAAACTTAAAATTTTATGTGTTAGCAGAAATAAATATTTTTAATAGGATCAAGAGATTAAGGAAAGGGCATATGGAGTTGGAATATTTTTATCGAGTTGGAACTTTTTATTGTTAAGCGGCCATTTTTTTTTTTTAACTCCTTGTTAGTATTGATTGCTTCTCCCTCGAACATGCTTTAAATAAATGACTGCTTGAAATAAATATTAAACTGATAAACATATCTATTTTCTTCGATAATAGTTGAACATAAAAATTTTAAATAAAATAAAACAATTAATATTTGAACCATATAGATGTTAATACACAATCTTCAAATTCATAATAATTATTTAAGAAAATATAATTACATTATCTGGTGAAGATATTAAAGTTGAGTTGTCATCATTTTTAGTATGTGCACTTATCTCGCCAATTCTTTCTTCAACATCTGTCTCGGTGTCGAATGCTTTTTCCTTAAATAAATAAAAGATTATAAAATAAACATTAAAATTAGTTTAAAAAATAAGTGTTCAAATACTAAGCTAATGAACATTCTCTATCATTCATCAATTATGGAACACAATTTAAAAAAACACTAAAATATTCATTTACAAATAAATGTCAGTACAGATATTCTAAATTAAAAATAATAATAACAATTTTTTAAAAAAATTACATTATCTGGCAGAGGTGTTATTGATGAAGAGTTGCCATCATTCTCAATAAATGCACTTATTTCACTTGTACTATTTTCAACATTTATTGCAGCATAGATTGTTTTTCCCTTAAAAAGAAAATAAAGTAAATAAAAAATTGCTTAGTATAAACAATATAACAGACATTTTCTATTATTCTTAGACAAAACAAAGTACAAATTTTGAATAAGATAAAACAATCAAAATGTAATAGGACTAAATAGATCTCAAAACAAAATCATGACAACTTTTTTTTTTTAATTTTTGGAAATCATTACAGTGAATCTGATCATGTAAAGGGTTTCAATAACTTTAAATCAAACCTGTACAGTATTCTGAATAAAACATCTTAAAATACAATACATTTTTTGTATTTTGCTTCTTAGAGAATAAAATACAAATATGTATAGAAGGGACCCCCTTCCAACTTTAAAAATATAAAATACATTTATATATATATATATATATATATATATTATATATATATATATATATATATATATATATATATATATATAATGTATTATATATATTTCCTCAAGCAGAGATGGGCAGAAAAGAAGAAATTGAAAAAGAAACCAGTATCATAGTCGCATAGTCCTTCAGGGCTGTTTCGCGTCAAATAATAAATAATAAATAATATATATATATTATTTTCCTTCTACGGCAACCCCAAAGCAAGAGAGTTTATTAAATAAGTATTACATGCTCCATGCCTTTTGTAAATAGTCACTCTACATGTAGTACATGTTACATTTTACAATTTAGAATATATGTAGATATTTACAATATTAGTTAAAAAAATTAATTGAATTTGTTGACTATAAATTAATTGAATTTTGTCATAAGCATCTGTTCTGTTTTTGGCCAAGTTCCTCGTTTTATCATAATGTTTTGTATCAGTCTTGCTCGAATATTGTATAGTTTTCTGCAGTCCTATATTAAGTGTTGAATATTCTTTACTTGTTCATCCTGCGGACACTAGTGTGCCTAGTTACAATAGGCATGGAACATGTAATACTTATTTAATAAACTCCCTTCCTATGGGGTTACCATAGAAGGTGATAAGATAAAATTATTTTTTTTTTAATTAATCTTTTATATTATCATGGACATAACCGAGGGAAAAGTGTGTAATTTTTTAGTTATTCGCAAATAAAGTTAGTTTTCTATCATAACTTGTTTGCCTGAATTTTCGGGATGATTGGACTATTTTGTCCGCCTGAAGGAGAAGGAAGCCTTCAAAATTGGTGGCTCAATCTTGAGATTTGGTGAAGAATTAACGATGATATAGCTTGCCTATCCAAAACACCATTGATAAATAATATAAACTCCTCCTTTCTCGATCATAGAGATATCAAGTCGACGAAATGTATTCAATGACAGTACTACAATTAACGTAAGGTTTTGTCTGGATGCGAACCCCATGCCTTGCGTTATCTCGAAAATATTATGTTTTTGGGCTTAAAACGCAGGATCTGATAGTTCCGGACGAACTATCGGGGTCTTGCTGTACGCATCAAAATCTTCAAGATACAATTTGTCCCGTATCGATCTACAGACCTACCACCGTTCCATTATTGAAGCCTAGCAAAATGTTTGTATCGACTTTATTTATTTTAGAAAGAAAAACAAAAGTGGAGAATACGATTCGCTAACCCCCCGTGAAATTCTGAATCCAACGGTACCCCATTCATGGTATTTGAGCATGACAGGAGCTTATATTTGGTACAAAACCGATTTCGAGCCTTACTGTAATAATATATGTGGGGATGGGGTGGGGATATATCAGCCAGGAAAATTAGGGTAATGGAATAGTTAGTGCAGTATCTTTAAAGAGGAATAAATTATTAAGAATTAGAAAACTAATGGAATGTATCTTTGTTAATAATTGTGCCATTTTTGCGATTTTTTTGGTAATTTAATAATCTTTTTAATTATAATGGATACAATAAAGGAAAAAATTCATAATTTTTTATTTATTCGCAAATAAAGTTTCTTTTCCTTCTTAACTTTTCCCCGTAAATTTCGAGGGAATGTGACTATTTTTCTCACCTGAAGGTGAAGAAGATCTTTAAAATGAAGGCTCAATCATTGGATTTAATAAAGAATTGACCAAGTTATGGCGTACAGACAAAAAAACACCTTTTAGAAATAATATATAGGATAGAACAGCTGTGCTGAGATAGTCGTCATGGCAACGACTTCACTTTTCATTATGATGTTTTTGCCTGGCGTTAACTAAAACATTCATAACTCCTCAGGATTTTATAATAATTCAATGTTTCTACAACCGTTGTAAAGCTGAATTATTGCTCTTCATAACCGTACAGATAACTTTTTGATTTAACACGTCTATAAAGAGTAAATAAATAAAAATTCCTAAAGGTAATTAAATAAATAAATAAGAAATATAAAAATCATGGAAATCTATTAGAAATTTGTAAATTAGAAACGATTTATACCGATCCAAGAAGCAAAATAGGTTCAAATATTTTTGTAGAAGAAACTCTTCAAATACGAATTTTCATAAGAGTTGAAAAAAAAAATTTCCTACAAATTGGAGTTAAGGCTCTCCCTTAATTAAAAGTTTTTTTTTTCGAAAATTACAAGAATTGTGATAACTTTAACATTCTTCCACCTGTTCACATCTAATTTAGCAGGAATTTAGTGCTATATAAGTTACACTAAATGATACAGACCGATTTCTGGATTGCATAGAATATGGTATTATTATTAGTATTTTTGTTTATTGTTTTAAGTTTCCAGATTTATTTTCCAGCTCTCAAGGCCGATGGATTTTTATGAATGAGGTATCAAACGAAAGACTATTACACGGAGAAGTGAGGAATCATAACCACATCACCTCAGAATTTCAGAGGAAAAGTTATGAATGAAAAGAAACTTTATTTGCATTTAACTCAAAAAGTATATATTTTTTTCTTGAACAGACTAAAACGACTAAAGACCGTCCGACATTTTCGACTACTGCAGCACTTATTAGACAAACGCTCTAAACTTCCAAATATTTCCAAAAGACTCGTATATATTACTATAATAAGGCCTATTTGGACTTACGGGATCGAGATTTATGGCTCTACTAAACCATCAAATTCCTCTCGTATCCAATCTTTATAATCCAAAGTCCTTCGTAAAATCCTCACTGCTTCCTACTTTTTCTCAAATAAAATCATCCATAACGACCTTAATGTACCGTATGTTTCCGATTTAGCTCAATCCAGATACCTATCCTTCCATAATAAACTTATGAATCATCCGAACCCTCTTTTTTCCAACCTTGATTCCTATTCCTGATAACCCTCCGAGGCCTTTGAAAAGAAGATGGCCTCAGGACCTTCTAATATAGAAATATAATTGGAGCGCCACCAATGTGCAGTTTCTCTTCATGTTGTACATTCCATGTTACTAATTTCATATGTACTTGTTGTATTTATCATTCAATACAGTTGTAAATTTCTATAAATAAAAATTCTGGATTGCACGCGCATGATTATTTGAAAATTTACTAAATTCTCTGCAAGACGAAAAAAGTAAAAAAATCATTGTAATCAGACGGTTATTAACAAAGATATAGCCTAAAGAAATTTACGCATGTTTGGGATGATTATTTAGATGAACTAATGTGATTCGAAGTGAGAATAAAAAAATCTGGTGTTTCCACTCACACGACTTTCCTACCTATTTCAGAAAAGTTTTTATATCTTTACATATGTCCATAAAGAAACAAAAAAAAATGGAATTAGATTTATTTTTCTGAAAATTGATCAAAGAAAAGATTTGAGTACGATTTATTTGACAAACTACAGCAATGTAAACCGGCTTAAGGTAGATTAGTGCAAACATTTCATCTCTATATCGATCAAAACTTTTGCATAGCTAATTTGTCAAAATAATGTTTGTTAAAAGTAGAGGAAATAGTGAAGCTTGTGTGATGCGGGCAACAGATTTTCTTATTTTCACTTAGTTATTTTTTTTCTCTCATTCATCCCTTTCTGACACCATATATCCCTAACCATCCCTAATCCGTAATCTTACATTGGAAATTGAATAGCTGTAACTTCGTTAATAGTTGCCCGAAATGAACGATTTTTATATAATTTTGTAATTTCATTAGCTTTCAAAAAAACAATCTAAACGGACAGACAGACAGACAGACCAATGGCCGAAAATGTGTTTTTCGGATTCAGTGGGCTCTGAAACTTATAGATCCGTCGAAATCCGCATGCCGGAAATTTGACCCGATCGCAATACTTTCCTTACCTAGTATAGGTAGGAAAGTAATAAATTAAAACATTTGAAGAAATGCTGGTTCGATTCCGATGATTTTTTTTTTCGTTTTGTTGGTAATTTAATTATCTTTCAAAAGTTTTATTATAAATTTTACCATAGAATATATACTTAGTATATATATAATTAATATATACCCCAAAACATTTTTCTTTTCATTATAACTTTTTTTCGGGAAATGTAGTTTATGTACGAAAATTAAAGGAACAATTATTAGAACATTATAGGAAAGTTTCATCAAAATCGTTAGAGCCGTTTTCGCGCTACAGTCTATAGCAAAACATATTTTCCATTTATTGCGCATGGTTCATCAAATTTGTGTCACAGGCATCAGTAGTCAAAACTCTACAAAATAAAAAAAGAAGCAACAAAATCGGTTCACTAATTCCCGAGAAAATCCTGGCACAGACAGACAGACAGACGAATGGCTAAAAATGTGTTGCAAATTATTCGCAAGGACCAACAAGTAA